TCCTACCCTGGAACACCACCAAGCCATTGGTTCAGATATGTGGATGACACCATAAAGACTGAGTCTTTGACTCTCGGAGGAGGCGGATGCACTTTTTCTCCTCTCCTCTCCCTTATCTTCCCTGCTTAGCTCTTATGTCCTTGTGTAGTCTCATGTTTTTTGTATTATTTTCCCTGGAACACTCACAGTCTGTTTCTAAAACCTAAAAGAGAATTATGGATTTGATCAATCTCTGAATGCTATTGACACCCTTTTCTCAATGAGCAGTCTGGGCTCGGGAGAGCCCGAGTGTCCTGGAGGGACTTTCCCTGCCGGATACACGATGGACGGGTGGCAGACATGGAGGATCGTGTGCCTGGCGGGACTGTCGATCGAGGACGCTGAAGATTCAGAACCATGATAACAGGGTTCTTGCTGATCGGAGCTGGCTTGGCCCTGACTTATCAGAGAATTAAGAGAGCGGAACCGGCTGTTCAAAAATTTTTATATAACTTTAATTCACATAAAAAACAGCTGCTTGTTTGAGTGAAAATACATTGATGGGTTTTATTTTACACTAATAATGTTGTATAGTTGTAAAGTATTTTGTCTAGTGTCAATTATATTGTCAATTATATCATAATCGTTCATTTTCAAATGTATATCATGATAAATATTTTTGGTCACATCACCCTGCTCTATGTCCAGGGTATGAGGGGTCCATGATGATGATTCTGCCTTTCTGCTGAAGTCTGCCTGTATAAATGTCTCTGAGGGGAGTTAATGAAATGCCAACTGTCCACTCTGCCGCCCACACCACCTGCTGCAAGTTCCCCTTGTCCTCCATAGTACAGCAGCTGGACCAGAGTTTACAGCAGTAAGTCAGAAGGCTCTCGATGGTGCAGCGGTAGAACTTACTTAGCAGTATTTCGGGTATTTGGGCTTGACACAGCTTACTGAGGAAGTACAGCATTTGTTGTGCTTTGTACCTGGTGGGAAATGTTTGTGGACCAGGTAACGTATGTTAAGATGTGAACTCTAAGAAACTTAAAGCTTTCTAAACCTCCTCTCCATCAATGTAGAGCACAGGTGTTGAACTCCAGGCCTCGAGGGCCGGTGTCCTGCAGATTTTACATGTGTCCTTGATTCAACACAGCTGATTTTAAATGGCTAAATTACCTCCCAACATGTCTTGCAGTTCTACAGAAGCCTGGTAATTAACTAATCATTTGATTCAGGTGTGTTGACCCAGGGCAAGATCTAAAACCTGCAGGACACCGGCCCTCGAGGCCTGGAGTTTGTCACCCCTGATGTAGAGGGTAGAGTGCTCAGCTCGCTTTTTTCATCTGAAGTCGATTTCCATCTCCTTGGTCTTGGTCTCGTCCACTGGAAGAGATGGTGGCTGACTTAAAGCAGGATGGTATTACAGACTGTAGCAGTGAGAGGTGGAAGATGGTGGTGAAAACCTCTGCTTGTTGGTCTGCACATGCTTTACGCACTCTACCTGCTACATGGTCTGGGCCATCTGCTTTCCTTACGTTGACTCTGTGCAGTGTGGCTCTGACCTGATGCTGCTCCAGCTGGATAGGGGTGTCGTCCCTCTCTGAAACAGCAGGAAGGGTGATGGTGTCCCTGTTCTGTTGGTCAAAGTGGGCAAAGAACTGGTTTAGGGTGTCAGGAAATCACATGACAGGGTGGGGCTAGGAGTCACAATGAGCTCACTCGAAACTCTGGCTGATTGTGACCCACACCCGTTTTCACACCTTGGCTCATGTGATTAGGTGGAGGATCATCAGGGGGTCCTTTTGTCCCTCTTTAGGGGGATACTCCCACTGGGTTTAAATCTGAGACTCTCCACCAGTTGACCCTAGAACTGAAGAAGCTTCTCTGATGACCAGTGAAACATCTTCAGGTAAACTAAAGAAGTCCAGACGTTTTCCTTCCAAGCTCCTTAGACGAGGATGACCTGGATGACTGAGAACCTTCACAGACAATAAACATTAAATAAATGTAAACTATTAAAATATGGGTTATTTTAAAAATGCATCCTACAAGGTGTTTGGTGACTGCCATGCTCCAATCTCATGTTTAAAACTAGTATTAATGGACGAAGTTTAAAGTTTATGTTTGACTGGATTTCACTCAATGTTTGTATCTCTGTCACTGCAGGACCAACATGGAGCGAGAAGTCAGCGATCTCAGGAGACCAACACACCTCACAGAAGAAAGGGAGAGAAAACATACAGCTGTGATGAGTGTGGGATGACTTTCACTCGGAAGTATTTTCTAGAAAGACATGAAGTCATCCACACGGGAGAGAGACCATTCAGATGTGACTTGTGTGGGAATTCTTTTACCCAGCCTGGAAACTTAAAAGCACACCAGGTCATTCACAGTGGAGTTAAAGCGTACAGCTGTGATGAATGTGGAAAGGGTTTCACCAGGAAAGAAGGCTTGGTAAGGCATAAGCTCATCCACAGAGGAGTTAAACCTTACAGCTGTGATCAGTGTAGCAGAGCTTTTACTCAAAGTAGTAGCTTAAGGAAACATCAGGTTTCCCACTCTGGTATTAAGGCTTACAGCTGTGACATCTGTGAAAAAACTTTCAGCCACATAGAAAATCGAAATAAACACCAGCGTATTCACACCGGACAGGATGTTTATTGCTGTGAACAGTGCGGCAAACTGTTTGTAAGATACAAACAATTACAAATCCACAGGTTTACCCACACCGAGGAGAGACCTTATAAATGTGACCTGTGTGAAAAGACTTTTAAAGCACAGAGTTCTGTAAAAGTCCACCAACAGATTCACACCAGACAGAAACTCTACAAGTGCAGTTACTGTGAGGTATGTATTATAATGTTTTTCTTGTAATTTTAGCCTTTTTGGATCAACACTCCTCATGAAAGTGCATGTGAGCAATTAGTTCAATTTCAGTTATGACTTTTAACTTGAGTTTGTTATACTTTTGTAATGCCAAAGTTTATACTACAGTGCAGAAGTCTCATGTCTCCCCTTAATTTCTTTATAGTTTGCTTCAAAGAAAACTTTCTTGTAGGTTGTTTTGTTTTGGGGTTTTTTGTCTCGAGCAATAGCTCGCCAGCTTTCCGAAGGTCTGTAGTTTTCCTTTGGACACTGGCTCTGTTTCAGTCTGGTCACTGTACCCTGACCATTTTTACTGGATTTATTTGATTATTATCATCATTATCATTTTATTATTACTATTTAAGCTACATTACACTGACCTCCAGATTACTGAATCATCAGAAAGGCACCTAACTCACCAGTGTCGTCTAGACATAACAGGCGTCTTGGCAAAGAACCACATTTACATTCTGTCTTCATACATTTTGTTACTACCAGCCTTAAACAAGTCTTTATTATTATTTATTTAGTTGTATCTGTGAAACATACCAACAACATCACAGCATATCTCTGTGTTTTATATTTGAGCTGTGTTTATCTTAGAAAATAATCTCTTCTTCCTCTCATGTCCTCTTTCTTACATTGTTCTCCATGTCACAGTAAAATGACCCCACAAAATAATTTTTCTTTGGTTACTGTAAATGTTACCTTTGAAATTACCTGCCATTTTTTTAAAAGGACCCACTGTCTTTTAAAAACTCATCCAGGTTATTCTTACGCCACTCAGTGAAGTAGCACAAATGCAGTTTCACATCAGAACCATGCACACAGATCATGTGATGTCTTGGCTGTCTGTGTGACATCATCTAAAAAACAGTAAACAGCTCATAAAAACTGAAGTCAAATGATAGTGTTTTGCATTCAACTACCAATCATATTTAATTAACTGAACATATTTTAACTCCTGATGAGGACCTCTATAAAAGCAGAGTTTCACAGTTTGCTGATCTGGAGCATTCAGGTGTGTGTTCTGATTTTAGAGAAAGAACTGTTGCCAGTAAGGTCAGACCGTGCAAAGTGCTGAGAAACCGCATGTGGGATTAAAACAGATTTGGTTTCATGTGATTATCTTCTATTATTAAAACTTAAAAAAGGGATTAAATAAAAAAAAAAATAGACTCACCCCATGCACTTTCAGGGATTGTTTGAGGGTACAGTTTTGCATGACTTCATTTTTTTTTAAAGTAAAGATATAAAAGGTATCTGGTACTTTGATGGGTTAACTTTTTTCAGATATAATAAAATGTAATTCGATGTTGGCAGAGATGCTCTTTATTTCAAGCCTGGTTCAGGATTAAAATGTTGAAGGAATTCCCTGACTTACGCTGTCTTTGTGTCTTTGTTTAGAAGCAGAGCAGCACAGATGGATCCAGTTCTCAACCCTGTCATCACTGTGGTGGTGGGAAACCATTTCGTTGTGACCTGTGTGGAAAAACTTTCAACTGGCAAACAAACCTAATGATGCACCATCGGCGACATACTGGACACAAATTGCATTATTGCGAAGAATGCGGGAAAGGCTTCCCCACACCAGATAAACTAAAACGTCATGAACTCATCCACAGTGGGGTTAAAGAGCACCTCTGTGACCAGTGTGGGTCATCCTTCACCACTGCAGATCAGCTTAAAGTGCATAAACGTGTCCACACAGGAGAGAAACCATACAAGTGCCGACACTGTAACAAAAGGTTTTCCCGGTCAGATAAACGTAACCGTCATGAACGTACGCACGCCAACAAGAACTGCAGCAGGAATCCCAGTTTGTAGTCCAAATGTAGTCCACTCTGGAAATAAACTGTTGCACCAAAAAGTTGATTCTGTTCATCTAGACGCAGCGTTTTCAGTAGAAGGCGCGTTTTATCACTCATCCGTCATGTCCTCTTCAGTCTAGGATGGCTGCAGGTTTCCCAAGCCTTAAAAAGGCAGTTGTGTAATGACTAATTAGCACCAGGACCTGACAGTAAGCTGTGGAAACAGTTTCATGATCATTAATATGCAAATTGTTATGACAGTTGTTCAGTCTGTAGCAGCTGACTGGTGAACTGGCATTTATTTGCATCATAGCTGGAGTGGTTAGCTGGTTCCAGTTTGACTTGGGGACCACAACTTTGGCCTTAAACATAAACTTTGAATAAGGAGAGCTTCCTGTATTTGAATTTATTTAGCACTCTTAGCTAATTATAGGCCAATCTCCAACCTTCCTTTCATATCAAAAATCCTTGAAAGAGTAGTTGTCAAACAGCTAACAGATCATCTGCAGAGG